ATGTCATGTAATGACAGCCAACCACATATCTGAGTCTGTTATTGTTTGTGTGTCAGATAGAAAAACCAACCATCCATGACAGGCTTAGAGAGGAAGATTCGCCAAGTTTTCCAGAAGAGGACATTAAACACAAATTACAAATGGCAGTGGCAGCCGGGGAAAAAAAGAAGAGAAACGCCAACCCCTGTGCCTTTGTTGTTCTCCTTTAATTCTGTTAATCGCCCCCAGGTAAAGATTAGCTGCTCTTGCCAATTTAATTCAGCCTCAAATGATGCCGCTACAAGGTCACTTTTTCTATTCCTCCTCTCTCTTCTGCGTTCCCTTCATTCACCCTTCCTTGCCTCACCCCCCCTCACTTTCCATCCCAACAAACTCTCTCCTCCATTTCTCTTTCCGTGAGTAGGATTGAGTTGTCATGTAGTTCTAATAGGCAGCACAGGGAATCATTAGTCCACCTCGCCTCCCTGACTGATGGGTATTTCACTCCAATCATCTGAGTACTGTGCGTGTATTTGTGTAGGTGTCTGTGTGTGTGTGTGTGGAAGGAGAAAACTGGAATATCCCCCACCTCACCAACCCCCCTTCCGCACATACACACTCTCTCCGCCATAGACTATCACCAAACCCCCCAACCCCCTAACCCCCCTCCGTCACAGCATTGTGCGCCTGCTGCTATTGACGGAGTGTCAGAGCTGAGGGGAGATGTCTTAATCAACTTGGACACACTGGGCATTGATTTGACAAGCTGCTGTAATGACCTTCTTGTTTTTGTAAAGGATCACTGTTTATCTGGGCCACAAGTGATGTGCTGAGCATGCCTCATCGTCATGGAAACTATTATCACAGTAGAATTGGGACAGGGCTCGGTCTTTGGATCTTTTCCTTTTCTTTCTCTGTCACACAAACAAACACACACACACACACATGCAGCCACACTTATCGATATCGATATGTTTGAGGTGCCCTACTATAACCAGATGTTTGGATACTGTAAAACATTGACCGTGATGTTAAACGGTTCAGGGGTCAAAAAGTAGAAGCTCTAAATGGTGTTGACAACCTTTGTGTCAATGTTATGGAAATTGTTACACAGTGGTTGGATTGACTGAGATGGCTCAATAATCCCACGACAGCTGTTTCACGTGCTTGCCTTCCAGCTCTTTTTAGAAAATTATTTTAAACCTGCAGGTCACTGATTTGCTAAATGGCCCATTATGACAAGGGGATAATGATATATATATCTACAGATATATTCATATATCTTCTATTAGTCAATGAATGTTTAAAAGAAGTAGCTAAAAGAAGCATAAACAGCATCGGTGTGGTGCTCCATCGTCTGGTTCATGTCTAAAGGCACACCCTGCTTCCTTAAAAAGAAGAAGAAGGTGAAAAAAACGACACTCTGCTGAGTTTATTTGCAGGGATCTCAGGTTCAGGGTGCTGTCAGCTTCTGTCAGGGCAATCAGCAACACTCAGCCTCCCTTGAATAGCCCGCACACCAGACGGTAAATATTATTGGCATTCTGACACCCTCTCGCTGCGACGAAGTGTGTAAAATTGTTAATAAGGAACATGATGGGGCCACCACACGTCGTCCTGAGAATGGAAAAGCTTGCTCTTGTTGGCAATTATCCAAATAACAGGATGAGGCGTGCGAGGACAGGTGATTTAAGTCCTTAGCTGGCTGGTGGAGAGGTTTGTTTTGGCAAAGAGGAAGTAAAGAAAAGTCACAGAGGTCACATGGTAAACATTGTCCTTGTGCTTTATCCATCAGTAAAACTCCTTATAAAATGTACACGGAGACCCTTGTATGTGCCGTTTGGATAAATTGCCATATACGAGGCACTTTAACACTTGAGGGCTGTTCTACATTATGTATGACAGGCATGTGAGTGTAGGTAGGCTAAAGGTTGCTGGTGTGTCAGCTTTAAGTATGGCTGAGAATGTGCTGCTTGTTTACTGAAATCCACTGTTATTAGTTATTTCTATGCCTCCCTCTGAAAGTCTCAATGTGACACTGAGATAAGGCAAACAGTATTCCCTCCCTTTGCATAGAGCAGGTAAGTCATTATTTTTAAAAGCATAGTATCTCCAAGTCACAGAAGGACACGTTGATAGGAGAATAAAGTACACAATCGTAAACGTTTATGCCAGTATTTCTCACTGTATGATTACATTTTTATGGTTCATATTCTGATAGGGCTTGTATTTGCTGCCACCTCCAGAGAAATGAGACAGGCCCAGAGGTGGCATTTCTCCTCTGCTTTATGGAGAGTTGGGTGGGGGTGGAGGGG